AAAAAAAAAAAAAAAAATTTAAATAGAAAAAAAGCTTGAGGAATGAGGATATAAAGAAATAAAATATTTTTGTACAGCTATACAATGTGTTTTGAGCTGTCATTACAAGAGTCAAAAAGTTAAAAAAGATTAAAATGTTATATCAGCCTTGGCAAGCAGAAAAAACAATGTAAGTTTATAAAATAAAAAAGTTATAGTAAACTAAGGTTGATTTATTATAAAAGAAGTATTTTTTATAAATTTGGTGTAGCCTAAGTGTACCGTGTTGATAAAGTCTACAGCAGTGTGCGGTGATGTCCTAGGCCTTCACATTCACTCACCACTCACTCACTGACTCACCCAGGGCAACTTCCATCCTGGCATGCTCCATTTAATGGTTAGTACCTGTATAGGTATGTCATTTTTTATCATTTATATTGTATTTTAACTGTACCTTTTCTGTTTATATACACAAATGGTTACCACTGTTATAGTTATCTACTGTACACCGACATGCCACACAGGCTTATAGCCCAGGGGCAATAGGCTATACCAGATAGCCTAGGTGTACAGCAGGCTAGATCATCCAGGTTTCAGTAAGTAAACTCTATAATGTTTGCACAATGATGCATTTCTGTTCATGTATCCCCATTGCTAAGTGACACATGACTGTAATTGTTATACTTTATTTTTTGGCTTTTTAAAAAATTTTCATTAAATATTTTCTCTTTACTTTTTTTTTTTGACAGAGTCACACTCTGCCACAATCTTGGTTCACTGCAACCTCCACTTCCCAGATTCTAAGCAATTCTCCTGTCTCAGCCTCCCCAGTAGCTGGGATTACAGGCATGGGCCACCACACCTGACTAATTTTGTATTTCTAGTAGAGACAGGGTTTCACCATGCTGGCCAGGCTGGTCTGGAATTCCGGACCTCAGGCAATCCACCCACCTCAGCCTCCCAAAGTGCTAAGATTACAGGCATGAGCCATTGCGCTCACTCTCCTTGAGTATTTTCAACCCATGGTTGGTTGAATCTGCAGAATCAGAAACCACAGATACAGAGGGCCAACTGTACTCCATATGCCAAAAGGCAAGTTGGACCAAGACAAGTCAAAGCAGATCCATGTCTAAAGTATGCCACCATTTGTGTAAAAAAGGTGGGGGAATATATCCTTATTTCCTTGAATACCAATAGAATTTCCCTGGAAAGACATACAGTTGCCCTGGGTAGCAGAATTGGGTGGCTGGAGGACAGAAATAGGAAGCAAACTTCACTATACAACAACCTTTGTGCCTTTGGAATTTTGAACCAAGTGAAATGTTATTACCTACTCAAAATAGGCTGGGCATGGTAGCTCACGCCTGTAATCCCAGCATTTTGGGAGGCTGAGGCGGGCAGATCACCTGAGGTCAGGAGTTCGAGACCAGCCTGGCCAACATGGTGAAACCCCGTCTCTACTAAAAATACAAAAATTAGCTGGGCGGGGTGGCAGGCGCCTGTAATCCCAGCTACTCAGGAGGCTGAGGTAGGAGAATCCCTTGAACCTGGGAGACGGAGGTTGCAGTGAGCTGAGATTGTGCCACTGCACTCCTGCCTGGGTGACAGAGCGAGACTGTGTCTCAAAAAAAAAACCCAGAAAAAATACAAAATAGACTAAAATTGAAAGAAAAAAAATAAGTGAATTGAAGAGCACTGGACTTCCATGCCCTTGGAGTCTATCCATCCCGAAAGCCCACCTGTGGTCTGGCCTTGTGTCTGTGGCACTGCGGTGAGGGGTGGTACTCTTGGGCGGGATGTGGTAATTTTGGTCGTTGCACCCAGGACTCGTGTCCGTTTCTGGGGAAAGATAAAGACAAGGTCTACAATCACCCTTGCTAACGGTTTATACTCTCTCTCTCCTACACACACACACACACACACAC